AAGCAAAACACTTACATGGAAAACTTATTCTGCACTGATCAATATGACGGCAGCTAATGCTTTTGTAAATCACAAGTAATATCAAGCTGCTTTATCTACTTCCTATGCTGGCAAGTTAAAATGAGCAGCAAGATCTCCATTTGACACACAAATCTGCAGTGGGTATATTTTCCTAACTCAACTACAATTTTAGCTGTACTTTTGGATTTCAATTCAAGTGCCAAAGAAATTTCCGTATTTCAAAGTCTAATCGTTCAACTGTGGAGCATGTAACTATCCTTCAATAGGAAGTGATTAATCTGCAATGGAATGATTTGCCAAAAGGCAAATACCTAATAGAATTCTATTAACTACCTCTCAAATTATGAATATACTCAATTAAAATCATACCTTAAGGATTGCTAACAGTATTTAGTAGTATCTATCTGTCTGAAGACATTTTCAAGGATGAAATATGTAAAATCACATCACAGACCAGCAAAACAGGCACATTTGCAATTTATTTTGAAACCCAATTAAAGTGAAATATTATCCCTTCAAAAAATAATTCAGTTCTTATCAGTAGACCTGCATTACAAAACAAACAAAAACTTGTATTCAAGGATTAATATATATTTTAAATTTTGTCAAATCAAAATTAATGGAAATTTGTTTTCTTTCTCATTACACAAGTATATAAAAACCTCAACTTCATCTTTGGCCCAGTCAAAACTTTACCCAATAAAGTTCACCATTTGGACTTATGCTCCTGACACTTCACAGGTAAGACCCTTTACATGGGCTGATCCCCCGCCTAATGTAGTCACCAATAATACCAAACACCTTGGTCATCCAGGAGGACCATGGGAGGGGCAAGAAAGTATAAATATACAGGGGTCTCTAGCCAGCTTCCCTTTTGTATGACACAAAATCAAAATACTGCCCCTTTGTGTGTAAAATTAGAGATTTCTGATTTGTGTGGACACCAAAGAAACGTCGTCACTACTATCTCTACTAGCCCCTGGGTGAGGTGCAGAAAATGTAACTAAGACCTGGTCCATAGAAAAAGAAATGGACAGTCAGTATGGAATGGAATTGCCATGGCCTAGAATAAAAAACATCCTTACATGATATTATTCTACAATATCATTAAATTTTTTCCAGATTTGTGTTACCCCAATTACTTATAATAGTACTTCGAACCCTTGAAGATCAATAAAAAATCATCTTGGAAGCAAAGGTAACACATCTTTTGATATTTTAAAATTACAACAGCATAATATACAATTATCCCAAGCAAACTTACAAATTAACTCTTCGAATGTCTGGCAGCAATTTAAAAAGGACATGAAAGGATTTAATCCCTTCCATTGTGTAGAGGGCCTCTTGGGAAGGCACCTGAGCATTCTATATTGGCCCCTCTTGCTCTTTTGACCAAGAGGTACCCTCTTCTCACAATCCAATTTCCCACAGCTGCTGCCTGAGCTTTCTGTTCATGTCGAGGTTGAAGCCTCATGATGACTGGTACCATGGATCTGTCTCTCATCCAGTGGGACGAGCTGGGCCCTCCCTGGAGAAGAAACACGGGTTTCCCAAGATATGTGATCAGTGCTGGGGCCCTGCCAGCAGGCGAGGGGATCCTAAGGCAGGAGCTGGACGTGAAGGCCACAGGGGCATAAGATACCAAGGAGACAGAACTGAACCTCACATCACCCTGCTTGGCCCCAGAGGATGGCTGGTTAGCCAGTGACGGATAAGATTCCTCAGGGAAGGAACAACCTAAGACAGGCACAGTCACGGAGGGGCCATCAGGAGAGAACTTGGGGGTCAACTGAGGTGGGGCAATGACCCTTACCCCCTCAATTTTGCAGGGGCCTGAACCCTCACCCCTGTTGACGGAGTCTCCTGCCCCCATGGCTGCTTAACTTCCCATACCCAGCTCAATTGGGACCTGGGTAAAAGACAGAGACTTGGCTGACAGCAGCTGCCCTCGAAGTACAAGACTTGTTTGAGTTGTCTTGTAAACATGGTGTGGGGAAGTGGGTTTTTGATATCTAAATCCAGCCTACCACCAGGAATGCTCACGGCCTACTCAAGAAGGCAAATAATCCTTTCCTCTAATATTTACACAGTAAAATAAGATTGTTTTAGAGTAATAAATTTGACAGTAAAATAGTAGACAAGTTTTTAGGCTAATTTAAATTGGCTAATTGAAATAAGTGAATATTCTAGAAAAACTAATTGCACTGGACAAAAAGCTGTTCCTAAAGTGTTAACTAAAAATTTTATTGGTAGTTCATCTCAGGATAAAATCTCACAACAGGAAATGAACCTAAAGCAGTCATATTATAGTGCAAAAATTTAAATTTAAAAGCTATCAAGACTACATTATAAACATTTCAAAAGCCACCTAATATTTAAATCAAAAAAGGGGGAAAGTAGAAGGATATCATGTAAGGAAAAATATCCTATAAGTAAATTACATCTAGAAAATTTGTACTTTAGAAAATTAATTGTAATGCTAACAGCAAGACACCCATGAAAAATACACATGGTGTCAAAACAAGCCAGAGGAAAATCATTTGGGCAAAAAATGAAAAAGGATCCCAAGTCAAATTTATAGAAAATATTGCTTTATTAACTTTTGGTTGAGAATATGTTTGTATATTTTCAGAAAACAACTCTGAGATCATGTAGATTCTGGCAACAGAGAGGAATTTATAGGACTACTCCAACCATGGAGACAGAAGAGAAGCAGTCCAGAGATGGAAGATGCTGACATCTTGCCATAATATAATAGCAGTCAGCAGCTGTGTATCACTGCAGGTTGCCCAGGACCAAACCAGAGAGGGTTGGACCTGCATTACCACCATTTGTCCACCATCCAGAACTGAAATATCATTGCTGACATGTACACATAAGGAACTGTTTGACAATAAAATTGGATCTCGAAAGAACTGTTGCCCAGAAAGAAACTCACTACAGACTGATTCATATGCCTTTCAGCATAACGATTATTGCTTGTCTCATTTTTTATTCTTATAAGTATATTTCCAGTAGGACATGATCTCACTCATCTAGGGGAAATGATGAACAACATAGACTGATGAACAAGAACAGACCCAGATAAGGAGCCATGGGTCAGACTGTTGGACCTCAGAGGGAGGGTGGGGATAAAAGGGAGAGATCAACCACAGGACTTACGTGCATACATATGAGCCTAATCAGTGGTCAAGGACAATGGGTGGTGGTGGGGGGAATCAGTAGGTGGGGATTGGAATGGGGGGTTGAGGACAAATATGTGATACCTTAATCAATTTTTTTTAAAAAAGGAAAAAAGTTAAAGCATGAAAAGGTCTATACAAAATCTTCACAGAGAATAAACACATTAAAGGTCTTAAAGAAAATAAAAAATAAAAAAAGCTCGCCAACTCCAAATCTACAGCACTGTGGTAGTGTTTTTCTAGTCAAGTAAAATCACAGTATGATAAACATCCCTATAAATACTCTTTCTGACAAAACCATTTTCATATCCCAGAATATTACCTGGTAATTTTTCTGTATGTAGTCCTTTCTTTGGTGATGATCCATGTAATCTTAGAAGTACATTTCCTAAGAAAATAGTAGAGCTGGACAGAGAAAAAACTAGTTATCCTGAACATCAGCAAAGCTTAATATTTCAATTTATTTCTACTCTAGAAAAGTTAGCTTTTAACTCTACTAATCCATTTCTACCATAAAATCCTTAAACACTAAATAAGATTAAAAAAATACATCAAATAAGGTACTTATGACCTCCATTTTTACCTGACTCCAAAATACTTTTCAAATGTACTGACTATAAGTGATTTCTAATAATATATTCAGATTAATAAAAGCCTCAATAATAAGAATGTTTGCTAACTTAAAACAATTAGGTTGCCTCTATGCTATACTTTGTTTTCTTCATAACAGATACCTATTGATTTTGTCTGTGCAATACCTACTCACTCACTTTCTGATAATACTACTTTCATTTCCTTTTGGGTAACACTCCTTCTATAGCATTTCTCAGTCCAATGTGTCTTCTGAAAGGGGGAGAATAGTTTTCCTTTGGCAATAGTAATTGGCTCAGGGATGAGTACTTCATAACTGTAATTTTGCTACTGTTATGAATCATAATGTAAAGATCTGTGTTTTCCAATGGTCTTAGGTGAACCTGCTAGCAGTTTTCAACCTGTGGGTCACTGCTATAGAGCTTAAGACCACTGAAAAACAGATATATACATTACAATTAATAACAGTAGCAAAATTAGTTATGAAGCAGCAACAAAAATAATTTTATGGTTGGGGGTCACCACATGAGGAACTGTATTAAAGGGTCACAGCATTAGAAAAGTTGAGAACCACTGAACTATGCAATCATTCAGACTTAACCCCCACCTTAAATCAGATTCTCCTAGACAGGGCCTTTTAACCATCGCCCTTCATGTCCAGATCTTCTCACTGTTCCTAAAGCTAGTGCTCAGCATGTGTTACTTTGCCTTATCTTGACTGGTAGCATCTTCCAGTAAACAGAGCACCATTAACATCACTTTGTGAAACCCCTTAAAGCTCACAGAACAACGATAAGCTGTGAGATATATGCCCCCCACCCAGGATGGCAAAGTTTTTCACCTAAAGTTGGAGTAATAGTTTCATTTATGTGAACATAATAGAACTTCATTCTTAAACAGGAATAAAATGATTCCATTTCTTTCCCTTGGTTTACTAGTGGCATTCACTTTAATTAATTGCTCCATTAAGTAGTTCATAGAAGTGTAAAAAAAATTGTTTCAACTTTCATTAAAGAAAACTTAGATACTTCCTGGTATGTGCTCTTTACAGGGGTTTCAAACAAAGCAAAACAAAACCAAAAGCATATTCCTATAGCTCTTGTTTCTCCCATATGCTAAACTCAGTGAACTGAATTTTAAAAATTCCTATTTCAAATTAAGTGAGTGGCATCATCTTACCCATGATGAGAGGAAAGGGTTAAGAGCAAGTTTAAAAAAACTACCTTTATTTTTTATTTCATTTTCAGTTACATACTTTTAAACAGGGATGTGTTTCATTATTCAGACATTCAGGCAAGGTTGACTCATTAGTGTTGACAGAAAAGAAGCATAAAAATGCAAAACGTTGTTGGCTTAACCTGAACATACCTGCATTACCTATTACTGACCAGTCTGTGCTGCCAACTTGGCATTAAAATGGAGCAATTAAAAATATTGCTAGAAAGCAAATGTATACACACTGGTCTTTGCAGCAAATAAGGGTATTTATACTTTAAAATATTTTAAGTCCATAATTGGATTAATATACACACCTTCTTATGTATAAGGAGTTCAGATCATATAAACACTATACAGTCCAAAAACCCTACTGAGAATAAAACTAAATAGGCTTATGATAAGAAATACAGATATCGCATGTATTTACAAGTATCAGAGACACACATATTTGGTCAAATACTGTAAAGAAAGAAGTGGTTTCACATTATAATGGCCAAAACATCCATCTACTTAGCTCAAAGCAAACAAAAATAACAACTCGGTATGTGACTCCTGCAGTTTAAAGACACCATGATGGTATACAGATAGATAGGATGGAAACTGATGACCAAATTATACAGCAAATGTTTCCTAAGCTGAGTCTAGGTCTTTAAAATCAAGAACTTAAAAAGATCTTCATAGGATTCAGAGCAACAATGATAAACAACGTCCAGATTTGCGGTGTTCGTATGGGTGCCTAATTCATCAAAAACAATGCATTGAACTTTTGGCTAACGAGAAAAATAAATTACAAAGTACAATTAAATCCCTGTAAATGCAATAATGAAGTCAAAAATGTAGATTTATTTACTTTAATTACACATTTTAAATGTTACCTTGAGACAATAAAAATAAATAAGCGTGCCTGGAGGCTCGCACTTAAAGACAAAGAAGGCCCCCCCCACCCCCCTGGAAGGAAGCAGGAAGTAACAATTTGATAAACAAAAAATGAATATGAGATCTGAACAACATAATTCTTCCTAGCCATCTTTTTGTTTTAAATCTCCTTGAAAATCTTGGCTGGAAGGATGTGACAAAAGAATACCTGCCTTTATAACTTAAAACAAAGCATACTTGAAAAAATTGAATGGGTTTCCTTTTTTTTACAGAACCATAACTTTGTTCATATGCAGGCACTTTAACAGACTATGGAGGCAAAGCACCTGGCCCATCCTGTCCAAACTAGTTTTCAATCATCAAAATGAAGCTAAAACGTCAGAAAACTCCAGAGAGCCAGCGAAGTGGAATACAAGACACTAATGTGCACAGAGGGCAATAAAGTGACCCAGTTTTTATTGCTGGGGATCTTTTTTTTTTTTTTAATCAAAAAGCAAATAATTAACAAACAGACACCATTGAGTGGCACATTCAAAGTTTTCTGCTTAAGGGAGAGTGTAATCATTCAGCAGTGGGTTTCACTGGGATCCCCTTGACTTCAACATTATACATTGCAATGAGATTCACATTTATTTCTTCTCCTTAGTGTATTTAAAAACAAAACAAAAAAAAAAACAACAAAAAAAACCTCCCACATAATCTCATTTCTCAAAGTATTCATCTCTTGCTGTCTAACACACATTATCTGGAAGCATAAAGTTACATTATACAAATGTTGTATTTTTTAAAATAAGTGCTTTCTGCCACTTCAGCAACATGTACTTCACATAGTGGTGCCACAAAAGCAAAGCTCAACTCAACCTTGGCCGGGTAGCTCGGCTGGTTAGAGCATTGTCACAATATGCCAAGGTTGCAGGTTCGACCCCCCGTCAGGGCACAAACAAGAATCAACCAATGAATGCATAAATAAGTGGAACAAGTCAATGTTTCTTTCTCCCTCCCTTCCTCCCTCTCTCTCTCTCAAAGCAATAAATAATTTTTAACAATAAAAAAAAAAAATAGAACTCGTATTTACCACATTATTTGTTATTCATTTTACCACTACCACCTGCCAAACCCATAGAGCTTTTTCCTCAGTACCTCTGGGCAGTGACTGTACCATGATTTCAGAGCGAATTTTAGTATGACTCACAAATAGCAGTACCATCAGTAATGCTGATATCAATGCAGATGTCACACCAACAATGAACTTCTCAAGAAATAACTTCTTTAATTATTTGGGCACTCTCCATTTCCTTTGTTGTGTTATCCATTGGGGAGAAAATTCCTGTTTGGTTATGCTCTTATAGGAGTTGTAAAAGACCAGATCAGGTATGTAACTGGTTGACATTTAAGATACTGTACTGCTTTCTGTGGCAGGAGGAGAGCTTCTGAAAATGTCCTCTAAGACTGTTTTTACCAATCCTATCTCATTGGTCCATTCCATTCACTGATGGGCAAAGCACTCATGTTTTGACAAAACTTTAAAGCTTCCATAAAAGTTAAATTAGAAAAAAAAAAAAAAAATGTGAATGAAAGACAACCACACAATGAAGTATGAAAGTATGACATTTTTGTTTCTAAGAGTGAGTCCTTGAAAACATATGTGGTCACTACACGAGATGATTTTCATCACAAGACAGAAGATGAACACGCAAGTAACTCCCCCTGATCTGCCCGTGTCCAGAGTCACTTGTGGCGCTGTATGGTTTTCCTTTTCCTTCGTTTGAAAAAACAGCAGCACCTGCAGATGGAAGGAAACACTTTTTAAATATAAAAGTACTAAAATGTCACAAAGTAAGGCTGACTCTAATCATATGAATTTAAATGGTCCTAAAAAGCTAGTGCAAAGTGAACAGGGAACATGCCAGTGAAGCACAGATATTAGTGAACTATGGCAGAATTATTGCTGCTGTTTTATCAGCGTGCCTTTTAGAAAGAGCAAGACAACCTAAGCAACAGCAAAAGGAGTCACTAAGCTGAAAGGCTTTGTACAAAGACCAATTGGGAGCAAAGGGGTTCTGAATCCTAACTGGCTCACTGTAGTAGTATTTCAGATACTCATTAATCTCTGGCTTTGGCATGCTTTTATACAACTCATCTTGTGGATTCTCTCCCTTTCTTCCTGGTATTTATACATGATTGTTGAAATCGTTGTTAGAAAAACAATAATGATATTAATATTGGGGATTTTGTTTTCACTAAGAATTCGTTTCAAGTGTAAAAAAGAAAAAGAAAAATCTAAAATACGCTCTTCAGCAAACATTTTCCATCACACCAACTGTAGGAGAGAAAACATACAAAGTAGAGTAAGAATGTCACTGGCACTTTTTAATTTTTTAAGGGTTAAAGAAGGTCAAGTGTATGTGTTATTTTAATTAAGGTAAGAATTATAGTCAACATTTAAAATATCACAATCAATGTGATTCAGTTTTGTATTTGAAAAATTATTCAGTTTTGTAGTATATAAAGGAAACATTGTACTGTTTTTTATTCCTAGGCAAAAAAATCTAGAGGTGATCCCTGAGAGAACTACCTTTTCTGAGGGTAAATTTTCCTAGTCATGAGATGAAACACATGCAACCCATGTCAGGAAATGGTCAGATTTCAATGGAAATTCATTCATTGTTTTATAAAGTCTGCTAATAATGTTCACTGTTTCTAAATACTGTCACTTAGCTACTGAAATTCCAAATTACATTCTTTTAAAAAAATTCCACTAAAAAGTGCCTTAAGCCTTTTGGAATAGGGAACTTGATGTAATACATGTTTTAACGAGTAAGTCCAAGTCATAGATTTTCATGCTTGTATTATCAATTCACCTTGCTTGCTTTATTTTTCCAGTACTATTAATCTCCTTTCAGTTCTGAGAATGGAGTTCTTCCTACCTCTTAAGTATCCTTTCTTCAACTGTGTGAGAATTATTGATCACAAACAAAAATTCCCAAATTTATTTCAGATTAAATAAGATTTTCAAATTAATTATAATTGTACAGAATTTTAAATTCAAAAGCAATATAAAGAAGACATCTATTTTTCGGAAAGAAATCCCACTAAATAGGGTATAGATTTACAAAAGTAAAGCTGGAATGCCATTAAACTTATAACCACCAGAGGTCAGCATTGCTTTATATGATATGAATACATTCCAAATAGAAACAAAACGGGGGGGAAAAAAATGCTATTTAACTGGTGGCTGATTTCTTAAAGATATTACCAAAACAACTTAATTTATAGCCTTTGTGATTAAAAAGTTAGGTATCATCTCAATTATCTCCTGTCCCTGAGCACTGAACCTAAAACACACTTTGTTTCCATACCATCACTCTATCACATGACTGTTTTATTTTCCTGTCAGTACTTAGTGCTAATAACCTAAATGTATCTCATGTCTATTATCTGCATCCACATTGATGTAAGCTTCATAAGATCTTGCTCATGCCAAAACCGGTTTGGCTCAGTGCATAAGATCTTGCTCACAGATACATCTCACAAATGGGCACAAAATTGTTACTCATTAAATATTACTGAATAAATAAAGGATATGCCTCATAAACATAATTCCTAGAATAAGAATCTGGTCAATTATACAGCATGTTCTGAAGCTACAGTTTTCACCCATGGGCTGCGTACCCCAGTGAGAACTCATACAATGCAGATTTTAGTGCCTGTGGATGTTTTTCTGGGAAAAGAATGGCTTGCACCATATTCTTAAAGGAGTCTGAATTTCAAGAAGCACTGCTCTCTAGGCAACTGCCCAGACCCCACTCCTGCTTCTCCATTTCCAATGAGGCCTTGGCCTGGGTTCTCAGGGCTGACCACTGGAGATACTGAGTGGACACCATGCCACCAGTTCACGAGTGCAGGCAGAGGAGTAAAAAGAGACAATGTTATTTTAACACGTGGTACAGTGGATAGGGGGGAAATAGCTATTGGTAATAAAAGCTGTAAATAATAGCAGATTCTAGGATTTAGCACATACATTAGTTCTCACAGATGATGTGAGCAAGTCATTTTTATCAATAAATTCAATTATCTGTTCTTAGAAATTTTACACCTTTAAAATGTTCAAGTATCTTTTCTGTCCTTGCTGCTCAATGACTACAATTTCTTATACATTAGTTCATACCTCACTTGGAGTCTCTTAGGATCTAGATTACAGACAACACCTAAGAGAAGCTGATTAAGCTAACCAGATATTTAAATCATGTTCTGTCAATGCTTCCCTTTTTCTTGGCTCTTTCTTGATTATTCCTTATGCAGTTTCCATAAGACAGTATACTCTCACAAGTCAGATTCAGACACGATAATTAGGTAGCCAATCTAAAAGCTTTGAAGTCACATCTTTACTCTTAAATCCTTTGGAGATAAATGTTAAGTCCTGCTCCTAATGGATTCAAAGGTTGCTGCTTTAAATACTGTTTGGGTAGGAAATAGGGACTATCATGACTCAAAGTCCTAAAATATGTAGAAAACATACTGGAAGGGCCAAGGCTCTGCTACTGACATTACACCACCATTTCTTATTTAGTCATTGCCTTTTCCTTCATCTAGAATTGGGCTTGTTTTCTTAGATTATGTCATATACTTCTTTCTTACAGATATACCCAGAAACTGAAGCATGTTTCTCTGTTTGGATGTCAAGTTCTTATCGGTCCCTCCTACAGTGATTCACTGGCTCATCCTTTGGCTGAGAGACTGTTGGCAACCTACCATACAGTTAGGACGCTGGAACCTAACTTCTGCTCACTGGGCAGAGCTGATGAGAATACAGAAAATACCTTTTATAGCATGATTCTTTGACAAAGGACATTTCCCCTAAAATATATATCTGATACATTTTAATATCTCTGGATCTCTTGATTTTCAAATTATAAACTGTTTAATCAAGAAGAGTTTAGATCAGAGAGCAAGACCACCCACAAACTATACTAACTAGAAACCTGCACACCTATCTTTATCTTTAATTTCTTCCTCTCCATCCACATGCAATTAGTCCCTCAAGTCTAAAATGATTTTCAAAAATGTCCCACTCTCTTATGCTGGCTTAGATTGGAACACTGTGTCCCCATCATTGCTAAGAGCCTTTGAACTGACTTCCCAGTCTAAGTCTCCCTCTCTCCATTATGTCATCGAAGGTGTATAGTTGTGAGTACGCAAGACAGAGTTCATTCTTGTATTATTATTTATTAATTACTATACTATTTTCCATACAAACATCTGTAAGCCTACTTTTGCCCACCATATATGGCACCCCTTCCTCTGAAATCTCAGCAATGTCTCTACAGAATCTAAGGCAGTAAGTCCGCACAACTCTTAAATTTGGTTCCAACCTATTTTCACTCTCCTCTCAGTCTCATCATTCATGAGGCTTCCTTTCCAGGCAGCCTACACTGTGCAAGAAAGGAAGGTTTTCTACAATCTGCTGAATCCCAGGAAGTGACATAAGCCTCAAAACTGTTGCCAAAAATTATTTCCTAAGGTTCAATCTGATTATACCATTTCTTAGCTTAAAAGGCACAGCTTTCATTGCTGTGCTGAGAAAGATAATGTTCAATTTTTATTTATTTATTTTTTACCTGGCCACTAAGTCCCTTTCAGACTGGACACTTAGCTTGTCCATTCCAGTTCCCATTAAAGCACTCACACATTATATAGCCTCATGGGTTATTCCTTGCTCAACCTCTTCTCTCTGACTACCACCCATCAACTTTGCCAAACCATACTTTAAAAAAAAATTAAAAAATAAATAAATAAATAAAAATAAATATATATATATATATATATACACACACATATATACATATACATATATATATATATATATATATATTATTTTTTTACTTTTTTACAGGGAGGAAGGGAAAGGGAAAGAGAGTTACAAACATTGATGAGACAGAAGCATTGATCAGCTGCCTCCTGCACACTCCCTTACTGGGGATGTGCCTGCAACCAAGGTACATGCCCTTGTCCGCAATCAAGCCTGGGACTCTTCAGTCCCCTGGCCAACGCTCTATCCAGTTAGCCAGATCGGCTAGGGCCATACTTATCTTTGAGAACCAGTACAAGTATATCTTTACCGTTGAAGACTTTTCCATCTTCCCAGCTAGAAGTGAATACCCCAGTCTCTGAACTTCAACAACACTATATCCTACATAGTGCTAATTCTGCAACCCCTGTACTAGACCAATGATTCTCAATGATGGCTGTTCCTTAGAATTAGTTTAGAAGTTTTTTAAAAATACTAGTAACTAGACCCCACCACAGAGCAATTAAATCAGAAATGCTGATAATGTAGCCTAAGTACTATCTGATTGTTAAAACTCCTAGAAGACTGTGAGATGAAGCCAGAGTACAGAACCACCATGTAAAAGTAATTGGGATAGTTCTATCTTCTCTAGTGGAGGCCTTGATTTCTCCTCATAATCATATTACCAAACATACAATAACTGCTCAATAAATATTAGAAAGGGGAAAGAAAGAGGAACAAAGAAAAAGATTATTTCATACTGCTTAAAAATTTGACAACTAAACTAAAGGAAGCCTTGTTTTAATTTCTGGAAGGAATGATGATAGTGCTATTCTTTATGTTACCTGCCTCGAAAAAAATTCTCAGTAAAAAAGGCAAAACCTTGTAATTAATAAAGAATTCACTTTATATCAAGGAGAATAGAATACTTTCTATCATTCAGAAATCATATATTTATCCCATGAGGTACTATTCTAGAAAACATGAGACTCATTCTAATTAACAGGATGCAATCAGAGGGATCTCTGTCAATCACAGGTAAGAAGAAAGAGAGGAAGTCAGAAACAAATTCTGAAAAATAAGTCTAAGTAAGTTCCTTCACCAATAATAAAATGGTGAAAGAGAGAAGCACACGTTGCAATTTAGAAAAAGAAATCATGTCTGAATCACAGACTAATAATATGAGGAATGCAATCATAAACTTGTAGAAATAAGAATAACCCTCATGAAAGGAAAGGCAAAGGTTTAGTTTTCAACTAGTGAAGGGTTAGGAAAGTTCTAAAGCTTTCTGTAACCTATCTGGAATAAAGCTTTACTAAAATGATGGATTGACATTCTTTTTTTTTTTTTTTTTTTTTTAAATAACTGCTTTAGTAAGATATAATTCACATATCATAAAATCTACCCTTTAAAAATGTATGATTCAGTGGTTTTTACAACAGTACAGCAATAATCACCACTATCTAACTTCAAAACATTTTCATCACCCTAAGGAAACCACACTGCCTATTAGCAGCCACTCCTACACTCCTCTTCCCTGCCCTAGTATCCACTGTCTGCTTTCTGTCTCTCTATATCTGCCTCTTCTGAGAACTTCATCTAAATGGGATTATATAATATGTGGCCTTTGTGTCTACTTCTTCCACTTAGCATAATGTTTCCAATGTTAGTTTTTATACTGTTAACTAGTCATCCATTGTATGGATAAACCACATTATTTATAGTTAATTATCCTATATAATAAAAGCCCAGCAATCGAACGGGCCGAACAACCAGAATGACGGACCAGTCGACCAGTCACTTTGATGCGCACTGACCACCACGGGGCAGACACTCAACACAGGAGCTGTCCCCTGGTGGCCAATGCGCTCTCACAGTGGGCCAATCCCCACAGGCCATGCCCCCACCAGTGCACAAATCCCATGCACCGGGCCTCTAGTTTAGCAATAATTTATAAAGGCATACTGTTTGAGACAATGGAGATCTAAAGATGAAAAAAGCCTTGTTTGTAAGAAATTCAAGAAGTTTCAGGAAGTGGGAAATGGATAAAGAGAATAGAATATTGCTGGCAGAATGGAACCAATAGGTTATAGGCTTCAGAATGGAAAAATGGAGCTGGGAAAGCCAGGCAGGGGCCAGACTGTGAAAAGTGTGATAGGCCTTGGTACATGATGTTCCAAGCACCTAGAACCTTTCCTTTAGGAATAACCTTCCCACAACTTACTTCCTATTTCTCTCATCTTCCAACACCTACATAAAGAATCCGGAACCCATAAACATCCACACCCATATCAACTAATTCAATTACAATGTCATTCTTCAAATTCCCTTCCATAAAGCATTCTCTGATCATCCTGTCAGTAAGTAATCTTTCTCTTTATATCTTCTCCATAGCATTTAGTCATATACTGATGTATGCTAATACAACTGCAATCTTCCTGACTGGTGTGTACTCTACTGAAGGGCAAACGTTTTATCAGATATTTCTGAAATCCAAGCAGTGTAATTGTTGAAGAAATAAATGGGGGGGATATATATATATATATATATATATATATATATATATATATATATATATATATAATAGCTTTGGTTGATAGCAGGTATCTAGGAAGATGTAAACAGAGAAACAGCCAGTTTCAGTGAAGAGTCGTGAGTATAGAAGTAAAACTATGGGACAAGGACGGAAGAAGTACAGCCTGGAAAGAGCACAGATGAGAAAGGCCACAGGCAACTGGAGAGAAGAGATAAACGGGGAGATAATAACTACTGCCATCTGCCAGACAAAATACCAGTGTTTTATCACATTTAACTTTCTCAGTCCTATGAGGTAGATATTATTAGCCTTACTAGAGGACCCGTGCACGAATTTGTGCATGAATTTGTGCAACCAATTAGGGATTGGGCCTGTCAGAATGAGGAGATGGCGGGAGGTTGGCCAGCTGGCCTGCCCCAATCGGGGCAATCTGGGCCCCATCAGGGCTGGGCCGGTGGGGGAAGGTGCGCCTCAGGCGATTGGCCAACGGACCCCACCCCCAAATGGGGTAAGGGATGCCAATTGGGGGGCCAGCGGCCCATGGGAGGGGCCATGGGTGGTTGGCTAGCTGGCCCTGCCCCTGATGAGGTAAAGGGGGCAATCTAGAAGGGGGCATAGGGAGGGGCTGCAGGAGGTTGGCTGGCCAGCCTTGCCCCCTTTTGGGATGGGGGGTGCAATCAGGGGTGCGCCAACCAGGGAGGAAGGTTGCGGGCCTATCATGGTGATCAGAGACAGCGCTGGCCCAGGTGAAGGGAGAGGGCATTTGGCTGTAGGCCCACTCTTGATCCGGGTGGGAGAGTCCAATTAGGAGCAGGCAGGCAGGGGGGAGGGGCCTCGAGGTTGGCCAGCCAGCCCCACCCCCCGATTTGGCTGCTTGGTTGGCCACAATGGGTGTCATAATGACTGATCATTATGGCTGTTACAATCACTGGCTTTATATATAGAGAGAGAGATTTGACAGAAAAAGAAACAAGCCTGAAGAAGGTAACAAAGTGGCAGTGGTAGGGTTCTACAAGCTGTCTAATTGCAAAGGACTTGTGCATTCTAATTGGCCACGCTACCACCCTACATCTAACTATACTTAGGACTGCACACATGAGCATAAACTGCTGTTTTTATTCCTGTCATAAAAATACACAAGGATGTAGTTGACTATTTATATCCTGCAATCCACTAAACCAAGTCACATCATCAATAAAACCCAGCACCAAAAGGTTGCCAGTTTGATTCCTAGTCAGGGCACATGCCCAGGTTACAGATTTGATCCCTAGTGGGGGAGGAGGGTAATGCTGGAGGCAGCCAATAAATGTGCTCTCACAACATTTCTCTCCCTTCCTCTCTCTAAAAATCAATAAATATTCTTTAAAAAAAAAAAAAAAAGAAAGAAAGAAAAGAAAAAAGAGAAAGAAATATCCACATAAATTTCCTCATCTTGCAGCCAGAAAAGGAGAATTATTTTGGAAATTATGTAAGGTTTGCTTTTGATATGAATAGAACGTTCTAAAATTTATTAATCTAAGAAGCAACTTTCTTTATTCACTCCAAGGCTGACTCAAAAATTGTCCTAAAACCAAGAGGGGCATTTTAGACACAGCATAACAACTAAAGGCAAAGGTCAGCAATAGTTAAATTCAACATGACCTCAAATGATAGAAATATTATCTTTTATAATATCTGAAACTAATAGAAAATAATTATATGAGGATTTTTCATAACACTCTAACAACTATAGTTTATCACGAAATTTATCAACGCATACCAGATGTTAACAATAGCAATATTATTAGTTAATAAGTGAAATACTGTTTTAGTAATAGTATTGAGGTTGGGGTAAGGGGTTTACTATGTGTATTTAATAATCACAAACAGGAAAAAAGAAAGCTTATCTTAAAAGCCTATCTTTCTATCTAAAATAGCAAATAAAGCCTCTGTGTTGTAAAACAAATACACAAGCACAAGCAGGATTGGTGTATCTACTCAATTAAAAAATGCACCCAAATCTATGTTACTTGAAGCAAAAGTTGCAGCAGGCAAAAAAGCTCCTCAAACAATGATTTCTTGCTTTTAAGAACTAATGTAAATGATATCAAATACTTTTCAACAACTTTTACAAATTATAATGTCTATGTTGAAAGGTATGTTTTTAAAAAACACAACATGGTGCTAAAAATCTTTGAAATTACAGACAACGGAGCTATTTCTGCCTGCCTACACTTGAGAACTCACCACATGTTCAACACTTTCTGGCAGCTATACACACACAGAAAAAAAAAAATACAAGGAAAAAAGAGAGAGAAAAAGAGAGAGATCATCAGAAACAGCCCACATTGAAATTATCATATTGTTTTTCAAGCTTAATTTTTTCCCAGGTAGCATTATAATTTAAACTCACAAAACACTAAGTTAAAACTAATATTAATGCATGCAACATTCTATAAAATTAAAAAAATTTTATTCTTATGCTTAAAGAAAAATGAGAATCTATAATATAGCAATAATTTTCATGCATCAACACTCGTAAAAATATGCAATTGATTCTAAATAAGAATTTGAGAATAGTTCTTAAATAACTATTCATATTAAAATATTTACTGAAATAGCACAATTCTAAAGGAATTAAAATAAACGTATCACTTATTTTATAGGCACCTATTCCTTGAAAAACTATTCCTGAAATAACTGTACATGACTATCAATGTTAGACATGCATAGTTTCAGAACAAAAAGTTACTCAAACAAGCAAAACGAACACATACTTGGTTTCATCCATCACTTCTACTTCCGTAGGGGCTGTGATGGGTGCATTTGAACGTCCTGCAGTAGGGTCATCTGTGTTTAACTCTCCATTTGTAGAACTTACAACCTGCAAAAACAAACAAACAAAGTTACATATGTGCAAAGTAACAGGTTATACAACAATAAACATAATTATGCTTACAATACTTTAATTAGAAAGTTAATATGAGGAACATAAAACAATATGTAATTGTTCATAAGTGAACACGGTAATAGGCCTAGCATTTTAGTAAAGGTAAAGGTTTTCCAATATTTGCTTTTCAGCTTCCTTTTCATTTGAAATTTCTGTCCTGTCTCCTTCCTTCCGATTTTTAAACTAAATCCTACATTTCTCTCTCAATCCCTTCCTTCTTATATGCTCACTCTTTTGGTACCTTGCTTCATCATGAATTATGTCCCTTGTAAACTTCAATATTGCTTCTTTCAATGAATCCTTCATTTCAATGTAATCATGCTCGGTCTCCCTCTCATAATGCCCATTCATTCACCCCATTGTTGAAGCCCCAAATCCAGGAGACATTATGATTCCTCTCTTTGACTGAAAGGAGTATCTAATTTATCAGCAAGTCCTATTGTATCCTTCCAGAGATAACATTCAAAATCTAGTCAGTTCTCCCCCCTTTATTACTAAGACTTCAGTCCAAGCCAACAATATCTCTTGTGTGAATAAAAGGCAAAAATCTATTAACCAGCCTCCTGCTTTTACTTGTATCCCCTCCCCCATTAATGTATTTCTCACACAACAGCCAGAATGTGCCTTTTAAGATGTAAATTAAGACATGTATAATTACTTGCTTAAGAATCTTCAAGTGTCTGACATCCCACTTCATTTAGAATAAAGTTCCATGCTCTTTACACCAATTTACACAGCCCTATAATAAAAGATCTGAGCCATGCCTACCTCTGACATCCATACAACTTTCTCCTTTTGCTCAACAGCCTCCATCTAATATTGTCAAGCTTATCCCTACTCTAAGGCCTGGGCTTATCTGTTCTCACTGCCTCAATTCCCTTCATACTTACTAGCTATCTTCTTATCTTTTAGATCCTCAGATAATGGCTCTAAAACAGGCCTTTGTATCATACAATCTAACACTTCCATGCAGACACTCTCTTACATATTATATTCTATTTTTAACTCCTCGTATAACATTTATCCATGTTGATGTTTTTCTGATTGATTTTGTTTCTTAACAACCACATCCACCTCCATAAAAATTAAACTCTGCAACAGCAAGAAACTTATTATTTCCTATTATATATCTTTAATCTACCTGGCATAAAGTAGGCACTCAATAAATATTTGTTGAAATAAATGCAAATGCTAAAACAAGATAAAAACTGTAACGAAGCTCCCAAATTTACTTGGTCCTACAAATTCACCATCCTGTATTACTTCTTGCCTTCCCCCAAATTTCTTGAAAACAAGTCTTAAATTTCCATTTCAATTTTTAGAAAATTTTCCCATTCACTTATTCCTTAACTCCTTGCAAATGTATTCCTCCCCTATACCAGAACTCTAAAAGTTTTCTTGCACAATGATTCCTAGAAAATATATTCAGTGATCTTTGTTCAATGATTCTCCTATACATTTTTATCACTTGGCACTAGCTGGAGACTTTGGAATAAGTTGGGTCTAGATTCAAAACCTAACTCTGCCACTTATCAGCTACTTGACCTTGGAGAATATATCCTATCTTGCTAAACCTCAGTGTGCTCAACTATGAAACTGGAAACAGTAGTATCTATTTAGCAAGGCTGCTTAAGGACAAAATGAAATCAGTATATAAAGTACAGTGACTGGCATGTAGTAGAGTTCAATAATTGGTGGCCATCATTATTACTGTCAGTCTCACCTATAATGATGACTTCAACTATCACCTCTAATAAAGGATTCCCTGAGCCTGAAAAAGTTTGCCAATTCAAATTCAGTATTTCCAAAACCAAATTTATCATAACCTCTTGAATTTGCTACTCTTCCTATGTTTCCATCTTCCCAAACCTCCAGGCTCAAAATCTAAGAATCAGCTTTGATGATTCCCTTTAATCTCTTTGAGAAAAAAAAAAAAGCAAAAAAAAAAAGCTAACCTATCAAAGGCCTGGGTGCCAGAGGTACAGCTGATGACTAAACTTAAGAGTACTTTCTACAGAACCCCATATTTCTGAAATCTAATGCAAAAGTTCTCACTCAGAGGCTACAACATGCCAGGCATTGTTCTAAGAAATTGGAGTAACATAATTAACAAGACAGACAAACACCCCCAGCTGTTGCGGAACTCATTTTCTAGTGTAAAGAACAGATCCCTCTCCCCCCAACTTTAAGTAACTAGAAATCAACCAATATGCCTGGATTAATTCAGGAATTATGGAAGTTCAGATTCAATGGGGTAACAAAGTCATATAAAGTTGGCTTCTTAACACCAGTGACTTGTGAGTATATCATAGCATCAAAATTGTTTTCACTTAAGTTAACTAGTGGTCTTTTGGCAAATGGATTTACAAAGAAGAAACAAAGAAAATATTATAAACTAGAGGCCCAGGGCTCGAAATTCGTGCACTCGGGGGGGGGGGGGGAGTCCCCCTCAGAGTCTGGGAGCCCTCGGGGGATGTCCAACTGATGGCTTAGGCCCACTCCTCCCACCAATGCCCTACTCACCAGTTGTGAGCCCAGCTTCTGACTGAGCGACACTCCCCCTGTGGGAGCGCACTGACAACGAGGGGACAGCTTCTGTGTTGAGCATCTGCCCCCTGGTGGTCCGTGTGTGTCATAGTGACGAGTCGTTCCACCAGTCATTTCGTTGCTAAGTCTGCCATTCGGTCAGTTTGCATATTAGGCTTTCAACCGAACGGCAGAATGACAGGCAGAATGACCAGTCACTATGACATGCACTGATCACCAGGGGGCAGATGCTCAACACAGGAGCTGCCCCAGCCCACAGGCTCCAAGCCAGCCACGGCAGGTGCCAGCAGGGGCATCCTCCACCATCCCACTGGTTGCCCCACAGATCAGCCCTGATTGCCAGCCAGGCTTAAGGACCCTACCCATGCTCAAATTTTGTGCACTGGGCCTCTAGTATATAATGATGTGTCATCATATTTCCTAGAAACCTAAATCAAACAAGCAATCAAACAAATATATACAAATTATTTTTATAAGCCAAATACAAAAATTATTCCAGTTAAGTGACATTTCTAGAATTTTAACTCAAACTAGAACATAAAAGTCTAAAACATTAGTGTTCATCAGGCTGATTTCCTTAATGAAAGTTTATATAAAAATGACAGTAGTATTTGAGGTTTGACATTTGAAAAAATGATTCAGGTATCTTACAGAGTTTTTTTGTTCTTGTTCTCAAATTTTCTCTGATATTCCCACTCTGATAAGAAACTTGGTGCAGTTCTTAAGAGATTTAAAAAAAAATAATTTTTTTTTAATTAAAAAAAAAAAAAGGCAACCAGGCTGCAGTCTTCCTATTAGAACATCAGAGTTTAAGGGAAGGGGTTGGGGAAACAACCTAAAGCTAAGTGTGGAGGTAAATGATGATTCACTTAATGGCTGCCTGCCCAATCTATTTCCAAAAGAAGACATTCTCACAGACGATAAATACAATCAAAGATAGCACATGGTATCTGTGTAGTCAATGACTGGAAAAGGCCAACTAATATACTTTTCAAATATAATGAATTCATACAAATCATTATAGTATCTTCCTAATTCTATTTGAGTTCTTGTAAACATGTGATTACCAAGTGATCAATACAGGCTCAATATATTATTTAACAAGTTTTTCATCTACCCAAAAATATGTATTAGAAATATTAAAACATTATATAATTTACTCATAAACTCAGTTTTTTCTAAAAGTCATCTATTTCCCTAGCCCAGTGGTTGGCAAACTCATTAATCAATAGAGCCAAATATCAACAGTACAATGATTGAAATTTCTTTTGAGAGCCAAATTTTTTAAACTTTAACTTCTTCTAACGCCACTACTTCAAAATAGACTTGCCCAGGTCGTGGTATTTTGTGGAAGAGCCACACTCAAGGGGCCAAAGAGCCACATGCAGCTCGCGGGCTGAAGTTTGCCAACCACAGCCCTAGCCGGTTTGGCTCACTGGATAGATTGTCAGCCTGCAGACTGAAGAGTCCCAGGTTCAATTCTACTCAGGTGCATATGCCCACGTTGCAAGTACAATCTCCAGTAGGGGCGTGCTGAAGGCAGCCAATCAATAATTCTCACTGATCAGTGATGTTTCTATCTCTCCCATCCCTTCCTCTTTGAAAACAATTAAAATATAAATAAATAAATAAATAAAGTCATCCTATCTAATAAAGAGGAAATGTGCTAATTGACCCTCATGCCTTGCAAAGAGGGCGGTACCCACAGCCAATAAGGAGGGAATATGCTAATTGACTGTCACACCATCAAAGATGGTAGTGCCCACAGCCACAAGATGGCAATCCCCTCAGTCCTGCTAGGACAACAGGCATGCAGCAAGGCCGAGCCTGCCCCCAGGCGGGCCCAGCTACTCCACACGCCTGCCTCCACAGTCCCCATTCCCCTCGGCCCCCCAGCCATCCAAGGCTGGCCCAAGGCACAGGCAAACCTCAGATGTCAGCTGCCCAGCTGCCCAGGGCCAACCCAAGGCGCAGGCAAGCCTCAGATGATGGCTGCCCAGCTGCCCAAGGCTGTCTTGAGGCTCAGGTAATCAAAGCTGAGGTGTGATGGGGCATCACCTCCTAACTCTCAGGGCTCCTAGACTGTGAGAGGGGGCAGGCCAGGCTAAGGGCCTCTAGTCTATCTATAAACTAGCTTGTTGAAGAAGCATTGAGTTAGCAAATCTGTCTAAGGTAGGGGATGTCAAATAAAATATAGGACACCCAGTTAAATTTGCATTTCTGGTAAACTAGAGTAATTTCCAAAGAGTTTATCAAACCTGACCTAGGGTGCACATGTACTATACAAAACCAACTTTCTTATATACAGTAGGTCCTCGGGTTACATCGGAGATCCTGAGAACCCACTGTACAACGCGACATATTTTCACCTTAAGTCAGAATGCACC